TTGTGGAGAAAGGAAGCTCAGCCAGTGAGGGCCGAGATGATAAAGTCTTGTATTAGAGGCAGAGGGAAGAGCAGAGAGCGCTCGTGTCCGAGCAGTCGAAGAGTGCGTCACCACACCTATCCGTCACGCAATTCAGATCACTCATCAAATCTCCGAAGAAACCAAGCAGAAACTAGGCCTGTCCTCAATCGGCCGTTTTGCTTGTATGACGGAGAATAAGAAGGTGGAATTACTTGAAATTAGTATAGAAATAAAGTTTGTGTATCTAAATCGAAAATAAAACGGCCGATGGAGAACAGGCCTAGCAGAAACTCCCTGTTCCTCCGCGATCTACCAACTGCAATCTCCGTGGATCCATGTCCCATATTCAACCACATTACTAAACTATGTACTATGGTATAACTTTTCGAGGTACGTTAGCCTGTGACCACGGAAATTGACCGAGTCAAGTGCTGGATTAGTACGGAGACATTGAGACAGAAGGAGGAACTGGATAGAGAGACCGGGATGGTTTTTAATGTGAAGACAACAACAACAACAACAACAACNCGCGTGTTGGGTAAAACGGCTAGGCCGAAGCTTGTGGGATTGTGGAGAAAGGAAGCTCAGCCAGTGAGGGCCGAGATGATAAAGTCTTGTATTAGAGGCAGAGGGAAGAGCAGAGAGCGCTCGTGTCCGAGCAGTCGAAGAGTGCGTCACCACACCTATCCGTCACGCAATTCAGATCACTCATCAAATCTCCGAAGAAACCAAGCAGAAACTAGGCCTGTCCTCAATCGGCCGTTTTGCTTGTATGACGGAGAATAAGAAGGTGGAATTACTTGAAATTAGTATAGAAATAAAGTTTGTGTATCTAAATCGAAAATAAAACGGCCGATGGAGAACAGGCCTAGCAGAAACTCCCTGTTCCTCCGCGATCTACCAACTGCAATCTCCGTGGATCCATGTCCCATATTCAACCACATTACTAAACTATGTACTATGGTATAACTTTTCGAGGTACGTTAGCCTGTGACCACGGAAATTGACCGAGTCAAGTGCTGGATTAGTACGGAGACATTGAGACAGAAGGAGGAACTGGATAGAGAGACCGGGATGGTTTTTAATGTGAAGACAACAACAACAACAACAACAACTAATGCTACGAGTATAAAAAAATCGGGCAGGTTTAGTACAGTACAATACTGCCAGTATTTTCAGTATTGCAGTACCTTTGGCCATAATATACTGTACTGCACGCTTTAGTACAGCTTTCGATACTACTGGAATAAAAATACTGCACGCTTTAGTACAGCTTTCGATACTGGAATAAAAATACTGCACTCTCCAGTACAGCTCTCGATACTGGAATATACTGTACTGGCAGCACGGCTCTCGGTACTGTACTGTACTGGACGCTTTAGTACAGCTTTCAATACTGGAATAAAAATACTGCACTCTCCAGTACAGCTCTCGATACTGGAATATACTGTACTGGCAGTACGGCTCTCGGTACTGTACTGTACTG